CTCCCCCCCACCCCAACTTTGTTTTAACCCCAAACTTTTTATAATTATATTTTTTCCCTATTTTCAACTATAAGTACCCCCTCATTCTTTCATTTTTCCCATAAAATCATCAATCTCTCTCTAATTTTCTTCTATAATTGGTTACTTTATTGTTGCAATTTGTGTGAAAAATTATAAAGTTGGTGAATTGAAGTATTCAAGTCTTCAACGATAATTAATTTTCAACAAGTTGTTCGTCAATTCGGTAAACTCGTTCCAACTCTTTAGTTTTAATATTATAGTTTTGTTTGTTTTATTTACTTTGTAAAATTATACTAAGATGGTTTATTCCTTAAAAAAATGTTTAGTAAAAATAAGGAAAAATCCAAGAGTGGTAAATCTAGTGGCCAATTTATTCCTCCTCTAATTCCCCGGGCTCCCCTACCCAAACCCCATACCCACCCTCCACCTGGTCCTATTCTTGATAGTGATAATACATTATTACAATTTACTGAGAGTCAATATGTTCATAATGTTGGAGGTGGTGAACACTTAGATCATGAATATATGAATTCTCTTTATGGTAATCCAACTATTGATGAAGAAGATGAGCAGGAAATAGATTTGGATGAAATGCAATCGGATGACGATACACCCACTAGTCATGTTACAGAAGTTAACCCAACTAATCCAAATGATGCCCCGTCTGACCCCCCTGTTACTATCCCTACTTTTTCTAGACAACCTTCTAAAAGGGCTGAAACATCTCTCCTTTGGCCATTTTTTATTCAAATTAAGAGAAAAAAATAAAGCTAAATGTAAAACTTGTGGCAAAGAGTTAGATTTTAACTATGTTACTCGGGAGGGGGGAGGGAAGTTTGATGAGACACATAATGATACACCATCAAGATAAAGTTAAATATTATCAACTGAAAGCTGTGGCCGGGGGGACAAGTCTACCTAGTTAGCTAGACCCTAGTACCGGGTCAAATCAATTTCAACCGAAAATTAATACTATTACCAGTGGTATTTTATATCATGACCAAAGAAAAGATAGGGAAGAATTGGCAAAAACGGTTACTGTTATGTGTTTACCCTACAGTTTTCCGTCTAACCCTCACTTTGTGCATTCTATTAGAAAAATTTTTAATCCTACTTATAAAGGACGGCCTCGCACAACCGTAAAGAGCGATATTTATAAATATAAATATGAATATGAACAATATTTGCGCTATTTATTTACTCATATTAATTGTCGTGTTGCTATTACTACTGATATTGGTAGAAGTGGTACTGACTGTGATTATCTTACGGTTACCAGTCATTGGATTGATGAGGACTAGACAATGCAAAAGCCCATTATTGCTTATAGAACAATTAATTCACATCACACATGGTAGTTTATTTCGAGCACGGTTGCGGATATTTGTAGATATTTTTGTATTAGTAATAAATAATGTCAATTTCAATGGATAATGCTACTAGTAACACTAATATTGTAGTCTTGCTTACCACTACACTAAATCTTGTATTTATTAACATTTTTCATGTTAGATGTATTTGTCATATTTACCATTTAATTATGAGTAATGGTATTAGAATTTTAAATGTTGAAATTGAAAAGGTTAAAATGGCTCTTCACTGGCTTTTTTATTCAAACCGTAGAAGTAGACTTAGAGAATATTTTAAAAGATGCGATGAATTTGGCCTAAGAGAAAGAAAGGTTCCTAAACCTTGTCCAATTAGATGGAATTACATGTCTGAAAGTTTTGTTATTGCATATGAATATAGAAACCCATAAACTCAATGTTTAGTTCTCATGTAAGTGATGATGATGAGCACCTTACAAATGCGGGTTGGGCTAATGTTAAAATGCTTGTAAATTTTTTAGAAAAATTTCATATTGCTACAAATGAATTTTCTCGGCAATATTATCCTACTATTTCTAACTGTTTAGTTTATCTTGCAGAACTTGCAAATTTGTTTTCTTATTTTTCAGAGGGTGGGAAAATTTATGAACAAGCTATTGATTCTATGAGAAAGAAATTTAAAAAATATTTTTTTTCTCATTCCCCCCTATTTATGGTGTTGCTGCCTTGTTAAATCCTACTATGAAATTAGGAGGTCCTCAATATTGGTATCAATCTATTTACCATGGTTTAGCACTTGAAGATGAGGAGTTGTCTAGACTTTCAGGCGCACAAGCCTCAATTAAAATAAATGCTCAAATTATTTATATTGCTTATCAAATTGCAATAGATAATGTTGGACCATATATTCCAACTCCTTCTTCTTCTAGTTCTCAATCATCTAAAAGAACTGTGAGAGTAAGAGCACTTACTGCAAGGTTCTAGTACTAGTGATTGTTCACAACTAAATGAGCTTGAAGTTTATTTGTCACAGGGAATTGAGGAAGTAAATTCCGACGGCTTCTTTAATATTTTGGAATGGTGGAAGGACATAGAAAAACAATTTCCGATTCTTTCAAGGATGGCCTGAGACATTTTAACCATTCAAGCTTTAACAGTAGCATCGGAGAGCGCTTTCAGTCAAGCAAGACTTCAACTCGGTGATTATAGAGCGTCTATGAGGGAGAGCTTGGAAAAATCAGTACTTTTTAGAGATTGGATCCGTTCAGAACAAAGAAATTTTGGACTTGCTAAATCACAACCAGAGGAAGATGAAGCTTACGAAGAAATGCTAGCTGAACTTGCAGAGGATGCAGCTTTGCTCGGAAGCGGTGATGAACAAGCTTCTTTTCCGCCACGACCAACGGAAGTTCCTCCGAACCTTGAAGGATTTATGAAATTTGTAAGAGATATCATGTAAAATTAATATGTAACTTATATTTTAGCACATCTTGATTAGTTTCTTTTTCTTCTCAATGGTGGTATTAGCACCTTGTTATGCTCATTCCATTGGGGGGAGACAAAGAAAGATTGGGTCATGTTCTGTTAATGTCATAATAATAAAAATTATAACGCATTCCTTTGAATAGCTCTTTACAATATTTTGTGTTTTAAATTTGAATTAAAAAATTTTACTTACAACTATATAATATAATTTATAAGAAATTGTCTTAGATAAAAAAATTTTAAAAAAATAGGTCAGGCCCACATAGGCCTGGGACCATTAGTTTGTGGTCCCGATCCGGTTCCCACCAATAGCCCATGAAGCCAGGGACCGTTTAAGCCCGGTCCACGAAGCCCCGACCCACATAGGACCGGCCCATGAGGCCTGTTTAGGCCCGAGCCCGGCCCGTTTGCCAGCCTTAAGCGGGGTTAATGCGAGGCTGGAGGTCTGGAGGCAGACCCTAGAGTCTAAAGGTTTCAAGTTGAGCAGGACCAAAATAAAATACTTGGAGTGTAAGTTCAGTGATGAGACTCATGAAGTAGGCGTGGATGTGAAGCTTGATACCCAAGTCATCCCAATAAGGGGTAGTTTCAAGTATCTCTGGTCTATAATCCAAAGTAACGGGGAGATTGATGGTGAGGTTTCCCACTGTATCGCTGAGTGGTGGATGAAATGTTGGCTCGCATCCGGTGTTTTGTCTGAGAAGAAAGTGCCACCAAGACTTAAGGGTAAGTTCAACAGAGTGTTGGTTAGACCTACTATGTTGTATTGGGCTAAGTGTTGGCCAGTCAAGAACTCCCATGTTCAGAGAATGAAAGTAGCAGAAATGAGGATGCTGAGATTGATGTATGGGCATACCATGATAGATAAGATTAGGAACGAAGTTATTCAGGACAAAGTGGAAGTGGCCCTCGTGGAGGACCAGATGCGAGAGTTGAGGCTGAGATGGTTCGGGCACATGCATAGGAGGAGTACGGATGCTCCTGTTAGGAGGTGTGAGAGGTTGGCCATGGCGGGGCTGAGAAGGGTTAGAGGAAGGCCGAAGAAGTATTGATGAGAGGTGATTAGGCAGGATATCGCGCTACTTCAGCTTACTAAGGACAAGATCCATGATGGAAGGGTGTGGAGGTCGAAGATTAGGGTAGTTGGCTAGTAGGTAGTCGAGAGTTCTCTGTTCCTTTTTAGTAGTATTAGTAGCTCCGTTGTTATTTTCGTATTTTTTGACCCTAGTAATTTCTTATTGTTTCGTTCGCTCTGTGTATCGTATTTTCCAGTTTGTTACTATTTGATGCTACTTTTTCTTTTAATTATTGTTTTTTATTGTTGTTGTTGTTATTATTGTTGTTATTGTATTTGTCGTTTTCCCCTTTTCCTTATTGTCCTCCCCCCCCCCCCCATTCT